ACAAGGGGAGACCAGTAGGGCATGGGGCCGGGGTCCCCTCGTGGAGGGGCGGTGTCCCCACCTGGGTGCAGCAGCAGTACCTGGGGCTGTCCTCAGACCCCGATGTCCGGGGGGTGCAGCCCTCAACACCCCGGAGCCCCCAGGCTGGTGGATCCTCCCCCACCCACTGTGCATGGGACGAACTGGGGTAAACGCAGTGGGTTCCTCAGTTGAGGTTCAAGCGCTGGTCCGTGTGCGCCCCCTGCCGACCGCGGCCAGGGCTGCAGTGGCGTCCGCCCGGGCGGGGCGGGGGGGGTGGGGGGAGAGGGAGCGAGGGTCTGGCGGTCTCCGCCCAGCCCCTCTTTCCTAGGCCTCCAAAGCAGGACAGCCTCCTCAGTGTCTAGAAACCCCAAGGGCGCGTTCCTGCCACTCTCCCCTGGGCCCCATGGTGGGAGGGGGCCCATCCCACAGGACCTGAGCCACCCCGTGGGCCTGGGGGCAGGGGAGCGTGCATTCCCTTTGGGTCAAAGTGGGCGTGTTATGACCCCGCAGGGCAGCGCCCTGTCTGCTTCCAGGCTGCTGTGTTCTGCTGGTGGCTGGCTGCCCGTCCCCAGGCACAGGGCAGAGGGGCACCAGGGCACATGCACCAGCTCCTTGGGTGCTGCCCAGTGCGCCATGCCGCCAGGAGCTTGCATTTCCTGGCCAGACTGGCTCCAGTCAGCGCTTGGTCACATTGTGCCTTCCCAACGGGGGTGTGGGGCTGGCAGGGGCCACCTTGAGGCTGCGCACACACCAGCCACCAGGCAAACCTCTGGGAAGAAGCAGCCCCTGCCGCAGACCCTTTCTGTGGCTTGCACGGGCCTGGTACACTGGACACAGGCTCAGGCCGGAGCCCTGGAGTCCAGTCCTCCAGACCCCAGAAGGCTTTGCGTTTGGTCCTGTCCAGAACTCTCGCTAAACCAGGTCCATAGCAATGGGTGAGTGGAGAGAGAGGCAGCCGTGGAGGGGGCTGGGAATCCGACCGGAATCGGGGTGAGCCAACATCCCAGCCACCCACCAGGGCTGTGGCAGAGCTGGTCTGGGGCCAGTGTTGAGGGTGCATGGTTCGATGTCCCTCGTGGGCTCCCTTCCCTGTCTGTTGTGGGTTGCAGCAGGCTGAAGGAAGCGCGTGGCGGGGTCCCGATGCTGTCCCCGCCCGCAGGCAGCCTGTGTCCGGCCGGCCCTGGGGTTCCCCTCTCCACCCGGGCATCAGAACCTCTGTGTTTCCCGTGGCCAACTGTCCCTCCTGGAGAGAAAGTGGGGGAGCAATGCAGCCTGGGCCTGTCACCACTCAACCAGAGCCCGCGCGGAAGTGGGCTGTTGCTGATCAGAGATAATTATGTGTTGTCAGCCGAGGGAGACGAGCCTGGTGACATTTTGGAGGGCTTTAAGGACAGGGAATTTGGTCTCCCTCTCCCAAGGAGGGGGCGCACTGCCAGCGCACGCCCAGCCGGGAGCAGGCTGGAACAGGGACCGGGGTTCGCACTCAGAGGTCGGCTGTTGGCAGCTGCCAGGTCCTGACCCCTGGGATGCACACGCAGCTCCGGGCGCTCCCCCCACCCTCGGGGCGCTTCCCCCACCCACCCCCCAGCCCTGGCTCTAGTCCTGCACAGCCTTCTGCCCGCATCACAGGCTCTTCCTGAGGCTGGACTGCCTTCCCTCACTGCCCACCTAACGCCAGGCCCGCGGAACTCAGAGTCCTCATGGTTCTCGCTCGGATTCACCCAACGCACCTCACCTTTCCCACCACCCAAGACAGCAGCTGAGCGCGAAGAGGTTCACGCTGTCTAGACATAGGGGCCACACCGCCTCAGGACCCTCCACAGCCCAC